TTTTTCCAAACTTGCTACACTAAGACAATTGAGATAAAAAGCACGAATCTTTAAATGAATAAAATGAAACAAGCGGAGTAAAGTTGACGCATAATGTCGGCGGGACGAACGCCGAAAGCGAAACAAAAACAATAACGATTTGGCTAAGAGCTAAGGGGGCTGCGGTTTAGCGAGGAATCAACGATCGCGATGATCATGAAGAGTGGCTTTACACGTACCACACAGTTGTGCGTGTACTTTTGTGCTTGTTCCAGCTCGAAGTTGGCTGCAGGCTTGTAAACAGAACTGTGTGTGTGGGTGTTTGCAAGCGTGCCTTTACAGCAATGTACCGATCCTGAAAACAAGTACGAAAAGGAAACGCGCTTTGGCTTACAAAGTCGTCAAGGTTCGTTCGCATCAACGAACGTTGTAGATCGAGGCTGATGTGATCATAAACGCCAACGAATGGATGCACATGCGGCTAATTCGAAAGAAGACCGCATGCATCGTACGGTGGACGGTTGGGAAAACCATCATAGCAGTTTGGCCCGACAACGAGTAGGCCGAGCCACTAAACGAATGGGGGGCGGCAAGGGGGTCGTCGAGCCTTCGTGTCTCGGAACGTCATCTCAGGCTCGTTGGTTCCTCCGGTAGCTTCTTTCTCGACCCTTCGAATACTACACGAATAAGCATTCTCAGGCCGGAACTGACAGTTCCTTGGTTGACGCTAATGCCCTTAGGACGGTGGAAGGGAATCGCCCGGTTTCGCTTATACCTCTAAGTGCCGCAGACGAGCCCGAAAGCCTTCTTACGCACATCCCTTCCCGCTAACGCTCTCTTTTACACCCGTCTCTGCCCTACCACACTGCTGTTGCCTTGTGTCCCAATGCCCCACTCAGATTTGCCCGTCACAGAGCAGCATTGGCTACCGGCTACACAGCAGAGATCGAGCTAAGTCTAGATTCTAGTGCTGGCAGGAGACATTAGGCCTAATTTGAGGTGTCCAACCGGCCACATTAGTGTCTAAAGTGCCGTTAATGGCGGGTCGCGTTTGCAGCAACGCTAGTCACTAGTGGACGATGGGCAGTGGCCGGTTAGACTAGACCACGTTAATTCGGTCGGGTGTCCATCTCTCTCGCAGCTAAGTTGGACAATATTCGGCAAGAAATCCGATTAAGTAAAGGCTACTTAGGGTAAGTTTGGCACTCACTTTGGGCGTATCTGCGGAGTGTGGAGTGCTGCGTTGGTCGGCCGCCGCTTGTGTCAGTGCTGTGACACTATGACATTTGTATAGCACCAGATCTCATGCGTTCCTGCACGAACACAGCCTTGGGCATGAGATGCTGCTCAAGAGTATGTCTAGGGTTCGTGCACAACGTCCGCTAAAACCCAACGGTTTAGTACTTTGCCAACACTCATCTAGCTTAAGACGTTTACTTGTACTGGCCAAACAAACATAAGGCTGAAGTAAGTCGGCCCCAATTTAGCAAGTAGAACGCAAAGTCTACTTACCTTCACCCTGCGACACAGAGGAAGGAAGTTGGAAACTCGAGATTAACAAAGGTAGAGCAAGAATGAAAAGCATAGAATATAAGAACTGTTAGATCTTCTGGAAAACAATGACGATAATATGGAATTAGACTCTTGTAAGTCAGAGCACTGTCAGTTAAATTCAGTGGCAATGTTTGACCCGTACATGTATGTATGTATGTATGTATGTATGATGTATGAAGCCATTCGTACGTCTTTGCCGTCCTTTCCCGGCGTTACGTTACACATGCTACAGGCTAATGGACTACTAACAACTCTAATTATTACTATTATTATCAGCGTAGTAGAACAACGATAAAATAGAACGTTATCGCCGGATTGTTCGCCGACGCCCAAGCCAGCGACCCGCCAATTTCAAGTTACTTTTCGCCCCCCGATGGCTGACTAAATAGAGGTACTGACTACTTTTCGACAATCTGCGGTCGACATTTGCCCTCCTCGTCGCGACGGTTGCGTGCTGTTGCAAATTACTATTAAATGTGATAAATGCTGCAAATTATCCTATTCGTTGTCGCCCAAGTGTGCTGAGTTTGTGTGAACTCGTGCCTCTATGATCGTGGGCTTGTTCGTCCAGATCCATAGACGGTACGCGGCCGCACTTACGTATAGTGGCGTAACTGTAAAAGCAAACGCTGTTACAGACCAACCAGTATCATCACGGCCGTGGCTAACCGCAACTACATTAGATTACTTCGGTACTCAACTTGCAAACATGACATATATATATATATATATGTCGGCCGAAAGGTACTAGAAACGAAAATGTTGAATGCATAGGCCCTTGCGGCTCATCACCAGACTTGTACTACTACTAGCAACATTCAGCGGTACGATCAACATTTATGGTACTGTGAATAATTTGCCACGGTACACAGCGCACTTTTTGTGCTGTTTTTAAATGGAATCAGTGCACCCTTTGGTACAGGACTGTGACGAATTTGGATTTTGTGTTTTGATTTAGTTGATTACTTATAAACTAAGCGTCAAAATCAAATGTCCTATTCTTTCACTGCTCTGTACGTAGCCACCATTTTGGAACTGTGTCTCTATATTTTCGTTTGCTTCCATGATTAAGCGGTAATTTGCTTCACCGATTAGTTAGTAAATCCGCACCCAAGTGCGTGCCCAAAAAGTCCTTCTTACTTTGCCTATTTTCTCTTAAAGATTCGAAATCAACAAGAGCTATTATAAAACTATGCCACCAACAACCGTCAGTCGACGATGCTGTAAATAACCGCACCTTTTAGTGTCGATCAGGAACAAACTGAAAAATTAAATAAAAACAAAAACGTCACATAGAGTGGGATAGCAACAGAGAACTGAAAGTGAGACAGGATACGCCAGAGCCCCTTTAAGCGCTGCAGGACTCTGTCAGGCAACAAGACAACAGGAGCAGCGTAGAGGCGAGGCGGTTGAGCACGCGTCGGGCATTCTTGTCCCTCGTTGCTAGCGACTTCTCCGAAAAAATGTTGATGAGCCTGTTTGCTAGTCACGTCTCAACGACTCACTCGTTTTCTTTTCGGCCATTGCGGTTGCCGACCACTAGCGCGGACCCACTGCTCTTCTGCGAAGCGTCGGCCTCCTTTCTATCTCTTCCAGCATTATACTAACTCTCTCCAGCCGCTAGTGACGGTTCTCTTTGCTTGTTGTCACGGAGATCTGCACCGAGTCCTTAGCAGTGTCGGAGCAGGCACTCGGCGTCGTTGCAGGGCGACGTGCACCAGTTTCACAAGCATAGGAACGCTTGGAGGCATATCGTCTCCTATGCTATTTCGCATCCGGTGGCGCATACGCTGGTGTCACAGTCGTTCCGGCGGGAACGGGAAAAGCTGGAAGCGGCTTATGGGCTAGTGAAAGCATTGTGCTGGTTTCTACAATAACTGTGGTGGTGAAGCCGACACTGCAAGGCCAGGCAGGCAAGACGAAAAAGAAGGTCTGTGCAGAGGGATCTGTAGTGTCGTAGATATGAACATCGCCCTTTTCCTGACTCGGTTTTCCATCTCGGTCTGACTCCCAACGAGGACCAAACTCCTGGACGAAGACGGTAAAGCAACAGACGAAAGTGAGCAGCGTGAAAATCTTGCAGAGGCTACGGCGCGAAAGAAGAAGATAACGCGTAGACTTTTCTAAAAACGCCTGTTTATTTTTTAGGAGTAAAAAAAACACGAGCGTCTGACTCCCTGAGGAATTGTCAGGAAGACGAAGCAACTCCGGTTGATGCCAATGAAGTAGCGCACGAAAACAAGTTGGGTTTTGTACAAGAAGAGAAGGCTAATAGAAAAAGCGGCGTTCAGCTCTCAGATGTGGGGGAGGTCTTAACCTCAGCGTCGTGGTTGTTCTAAATGTTTCGCCACATGTCATTGCTTAGATAGGCTTGCTGATATGAACAGCTGCGACACCGCGGGATGAACAAGACACAGCATTAAGACTGGATAAACCGGTTACATCTCTTTGTATCCAGCAAACAGTGAATAAACATAAGTTTATAAACACGACGTTTATTTCAACATCGATTAAAAACTTTTTTTTTTCATAATCCCAATGTCGTTGTTCGATTCTTGTGCTCATTACCATCACCAACAACCGTCTCTGTAGCAGCAGCAGTAACGACAACAGTACGATTATCCTGCAAAACTGGGCAGAACACAACTTATGGGAGCACCGTGACTCCCTTGCGGGGGGTCTTCCTTCACATTTTTTCATCTTTGATGTAGGTGGGCGTACCTCTGTATATCTCTGTCTGTTTGTTTGAAAATGTGGTTTTAATGGATTTATCTCCGTCATCGGTTGTGGGTTGAGGCGGTGAGTGCACTTGTTTTGCCGGCGTACGGCAGATGCTGTTTGATGTCGAATTACGTCGACAGAACGTTGATGTGGTGCACCAATCCTTCACACGATGAGGGTTTTGTTTCCCGGTCTCGTCTAGCTGGCCCTGGTCGACGTTTTTTGATCCAACTAGTGTTGGCATAGGGTCGCTTCAGCGGGTTGCAGACTATAGAGAAAAGATCGACATTTGGCAAGAATGATGCCAACCGCTGGAGGCCGAAACGATCGCCGGTCCCAGCACACCTCACATAAGAAGGAATTTCACAGCCCAGCGTTGTCTTGTACTGGGCAGTCAGCGAACAATAGAGCCAGGTGGTGGAAAAATGAGATTCGTTGACAGATACGTCATGGCGATTTCGACAGAATCAACAAAAGCCTAGTTTGAAAAAAAGGAATATGCGTACTGTGCAAAATAGTTTTTTTAACCTTTTTTTCAAATCAAGCGAATACATTATCCCCAGTGGTGACAGCATTAGTTTGCTCTTTGTCACACATGAAACGTATAGAGCAGGAAGTAGGAAGTATTCATGTGATCTATGCCTATTACAGCTTTATTAAATATTTTTAATAAACGAAATCGGAATAACTTTATATGAATTAATCTCATATACTTTACCATAACCTAACTATAAACTTTCACTAACCTTGTCCAAACCAGGCGACCTGCCGACCCTGGCGATCTCTGTCGGGGCTCCATTCGGCTAGTCGATCACCGCACGTCCGTGGCCAAACGTCCGTATCAGTAGCACTAACTGGGAATGGGAAGACTCCTCGAGCTCCACCTAAAAATATAAGCAACTTGGGCTTTGAGATCGAGTCAAAGGGCATAAATAATGTGATCGATCTGTGCTTAATTACGCGATCCGTATGTCCAAGTACGTTAAGATTAGTGCTATCTAATTAGGTGCAGCTAGTGCTAAAAGTAACGCAGAAAATGTCATGAGGGCCTGCAGTATTTTTTCTAAGAGCTATACCGTCTGCCTTGTTAGAGTACTAGTAGAAGTATTGCTTTATGTAGGAAAGGGGGGAAATTGTACTCTATTTTTAAATAAGAGTAACTTAACAGCAATTTTCGGATTTTTATGGTAATACTTTTGGGGCCCATTTGTACGTTAGGAGCTTTTTTTCTCTCTATTTACTTCGGATAGAGTTCTTGTGAATATAATTTATATTAAAAATGTATGGCACAATAACATGGCAACGCAACTGTTATTTAGAAGATGTTATGCCAAGGGCGATCTCATATAGGTACTGTTCGAAATTGTAAAATGCACATTTGGGTTAGAGTATGCGCAGTATTCCATCTTCTCAAATCTAAGCTTCGATGGGGCATTCATCCATTAACTTAGGTGGCCGCTTGTTATACCGCATACAATATGACCACTTCTAGCTTTTTTTCGGAATAGAAGATCTTTATCATACAAGGGCCAACCAAATTATAAGTTCCCAAGGAATAGTGACGTCGTTTTCGTCCTCAGATATTCCTAATCGCTCGTTCCCAGAATGTCAAGATGAGTTATCTGCGATGCGTTTATCTACTATCTAGCGCGATCTTCTTGTCGACGCGTTCGATTGCTGCTGATCATCGGCTGCTTTGGAAACGAGCGGCCTTTGGTAATCTTTGGGAATATAGAACGAGTGAGTCTAACAGGAGGTTTGAAGTAACGCACTGTAGGATGCAAGGAGTGACATCGCGGCCACGAGCGTCAGGATTTGTCAGTGTGTTGCCGTGCACCCCAGTGCACGTGCCAATGAAGGCGAGCGTGCGTTCTTCTGGGTGTTGATTGGATCGTGAGGCAGATTAAGGGAGTGAGAGAATCGAGTGCAAGCAGGCGATGGCTAGCTAGGTAGGTGCATAGATTTACATAGCAACTGGTTATGACGAATCACTTCGGTGCCTACCTAAAGGCTAAAACATGCCATATCAACAACACAGAGTCTAATTTATCATTCTTGCATCTATCTGCGATGCTTTGTCGTATGATAAAATAGTAATGGTATAGGCCACCAATCTGTCAATAGCGCTTTTACGTGAGAGTAACGCTATCAGATTGTCGAGTACACGTTTTGGTGACGTGCCGGCAATTTCAATGGTACTTCGTGAATACTTTCAACTATTAGAAAGGTCTCGCAGAAGGGCATCGTCAACACCAATATCATACCTAGCAATCCGAGATTTGAATGACAACACATTCTCTATTTTGTCACTTTTGGAATTGGCGAGTGAGACGTTTACCAAACAAACGCATGCTACATGTAGCATATGGATAGGCAGAGTGATGATCTTAATAGTATTGAAAGTACGTAGGTTAAAGTAAGCGGCTAAATTTTCTCATTTTCATTCTATGACTAAATACGCTTATCTCATTATAATAGAAGTTCTCACAGTCCGATAATGAAGCTGCGTTCCACTCCTGGACTCGTTAACGCTCAAACATATCTTTACTAGTACAGGTTTATCCAGCAAAGTAAGTAGGTATATTCATGCCAAAAAGATAGCTGATATGATTGACGCTGTTACCAAGTAGATACACAAACAATGTTCTTTTATCGCGTTTCCTCGACAGTTTACGCTACCTTGTTCACGAAACAGAATCGTGTACATGTCAATGGTACCAAACCGTAGCGAATTTCATTTAATTGAGGCCAACAAGCAAGATGTTAACACTGCTAGCAATAGCAAGTAAAACATGTGCTTTGTTGCGTTATGTGGGCTGGTGCTAGAAACATTGGTGGGGTGGTGGGCAGCGATGTAGTTGGTTCCTGCGTTTTGGTCATCACCGGTCCTCGGATGCGGCCCCCGTGCATTTGGTTAGATGATGAACGACTATTGAAACGCGACTGTATATTTGGCAATAACTCATAACCTCCAGTCGGCCTCCAAATCATTTTAGGAACAGACCCCGTGCACCTTCACTGGTGAAGTTAGCTGATTAACTTTGTTCCACAGAGTTTCATCACTGGCCAACGTTTGCCGTTCGAAGTTCGTTTTCTCTTGCTCTCTCTCTCTCTCTCTCTCTCTCTCTCTCTCTCTCACAACAATTTAGCTTGCATTCATCGTCACCCTGGCTGATCGCCTTTGACCCGTGCTGCGTTGACGGGGTTAATGTATATGCATGCACTAGAATATATGCAATGAACTTTGCTGGCTCACCTCTCAACGAGTTAGTTTTTATATTCGAGTAGGCATTGCTGATGTTTTTCTTCAGCGATTCCATTGTGTTGCGATATGGATTGTGAATAAGGTCTCAATAGGTTATTGTGCAGAAACGTTCAGTGGATATTGTCTCGATCCGCTGAGGAGCGCCTAAGGGTCGAGTGCACGATTACGCACTCCAAGAACTAAACAGAAGTCTTTAGATGTCCGAACAGACAACCAGAAGGGTATCTTCCTGTGTTAGCAATAGCCAAATGGTTATTTACTTCAACTGTATGATGCTTGTGAATAGCATAAGCTATTGAAATGGGGATCAAGTGGACTTCCGCAAGCTCCACTCGTTATCAGACGGAGAGAGTAAGCGGAGTCGTCAGCGGCACAAACCCCTGTTACACGTCTTCTAAGCGAAAATCGCGAGCTGGCAGTCGTATCACTTATATTGTACGGAGAAGTAAAACGATTTGCTCTACTGATTGGTACATATTGGTCGTGTAAGTTGATGAACAAGGGCGCTCGCGGGTAACTAACGTTGTTTAAACTTACTGGCCTGAGTCTTACATAGTGTGGATGGACTGCCAATACTCTGTCCTATTAAATGAAGGCGCGGTACGTTTTTTTAGCAAAAATAACCCGTAACGTTCAAAAATAGTCGCATTCGCGCGACGTACTCTTAAAGCACGTTCAGTCGATATCTGCATCAGCATTATTTTAGAAAATGCAAGCAGAAGATTTCTCTTCATCCAGGACCTGATACTGCGACAATGTTGGTGGTTTTGACAGGCCAAGCCTTAACATTCTCAACTAACGCTTTATCTAGCCCGATCTAACTATCGGATGGTCTCGAAATAGAACGATGTTCATAATCAATCTTGGGGACTCGTTTCACGGATTCGTGATCCACTAGACAAATTAATTGTACTGCGCATTTTCAATCAAAGCCCTCGTCTGCCTCGACGCTTAGCGGAGCGAACCGATTAGAGTTTGTTTTCAATGAAATTGTGTTTTCCAAGAGGTTTATAAATGGCTAAGCCAGGGAAGTTGCACCGCCTGTAATGGCGCATACGTTGCCATCATGTTTGTGTGATGGCCGCAATCTGCTTGAATCGGGTCGAAAATCACGCCTCTGCCCACCTTCACCGATGAACTCGCAAAAAACACCCACTTGTCTTCGACGATTGTAGAACAACGACGATTCGATTGTGCGCCGCCAAAACGCTGTTGTTTCTTCTTCAGCCTCTGGCGACATCGAAAGCGGACCGACTTCACCAGCTGCGTTGGGGACTATCGTTGCTACGGGAACGACATTGACAGCATTCATGGTGCTCAGTCGTGTTAACTAACCCAATGATCCTTAGCCAACGAAGCATCTAAGCTGCCCTTCGGCCGGGAAGCTGATAAAACGAGCCTGCGATTTTAGCTCGACAGCCTTCATTCAGGTTCAGTTTCTGCACGCCTGTAGACAAACCCTTCTATTCCTTCAGCGCGTATATAAAGTTGCGGCGGCGGTACCGGTAGACTAGAAGAAAGGGACCGTATCGTACCTGGCTACTGCTGTAACCAGTTGGGATGGTCATAAATCACGAGTCACCAAATTGGCCACTGCTGGTGCAACGCGACCGTTCTTCGGGTAGATCGGGTGCATGACGAGGGAACTTCGAGGGTTGTCGCGCATTGGGGCCCTCCGTTTTATATCTAGAGAGCTCAGCAACCCATGATGAGTCCACATCGATGGCTAAAGCATGTGCAAGTATATGTAACAACGGTGCGTAGAAAAACATTACGTAGTAGATAAGCCTCATTGTAGCGGCTATGGGCCATGAACAAAGGCTTGACTCGGGCGGGGGCGATACAGATGATATCAGATATCATTCAAGGACTGTGATTGTTTTGGTTAGCTCTGTTTTAAGAGCAAGAACGCTATGGAGACGATTGATACTAAAGGGTTGACTGCAGCGGAAGCTCCTATAGCCTACGACTCCGCGAGTCGGATTGCAGGTAAAAACCAGAGCTGGGATACCAAAAGGGCACCGACACTTAGTGAATGGGTGCTATTGCCGCTTGATTATGACCATCAGGTTAAGTGTAAAAGAGTAGTGCTGTAACAGGGGGACAAATCGCCACATATGTAAGTATTAACATGGAACTTTGTTGGTAGGAGTGTGATTTGCGTCACAAGCGTCAACTTCATTGCGGCTGTTGAGCGTCCGGTGCGACGACGGCTACTTAACAAGGCCCTTAGGTAGCCATCGTTATCCACATACATCGAAAGAGTTTTATAACCGGAAATACAACTTGAGTTCTGTTTCTCCAGGACCTCTTCGGAATACATCATTTTAATTGAAGTACTTGTGTTAGATGACCTTTAACGTTCGTTAGGATACTGCTTCTAGTTACATACAAGCCTAATAATCATAGCAGGGTATACAAGAAAAGCCGAATCATCAACTGTTACATTGTTTGTTACTAGAATATACATTGGAATATATCGGATGTTGGAATTCGGGACGAAAGCTGCTGGCCACAAAGGCCTTCATGTATAGGCTAGTAGCAAAGTAACCTTCGATATAGTCAGCGGTATGCTTGCAATAAATAGCACTATTTAGCTCAAGCCAAGTGTTTATTGCGGCAAAGCGGAACCCATTCGTATTTGAATATCAAATCTAGATAGCTTTTTATTCACACAGGAGTATGTAGAATGTGAAATTAGTAGAATTTACTTTACGAACGCTAATTTTCCTCTCCGGTGGATGTGTACTCATGTGTGGTCAGAGCTTTGGTGGTCTGGTTCTGCTGCTAAACCCCTGCAGCTGCGCGAAGAATCAGAAAAGACCAGACCACCGTTTACTGGTGCACTTACGCTAACGCACCATCACCGAGATCGACGGGGGCTAAAAGCAAAAGTGCGAGTTTCCCGTCTGGGACTCTGTAGTGAGACTGAACGGCAACATATCGCTTTGCCGGTCGACTGTCTCTATGAAGTGCAGGTGCGGCCGCTAACTGCAATTTGACAAGTGTGACTCAGTTTTAGAGTTATACACTTCTCTGAATGAGCGAAACATTGGAGATCGCCGCATCCATGAGGACTAGGCTGACCATTAATTGAATACCAGTTTAGCTCCCTCATAGTGAGGCTTCCTGTTGCAATCACTGACCTAAGCTGTGCGCAAGCCTTGCCTCAAAAAATTAACCAGTTTATCACAATATGTGCTACTGTGAATGAATAATTTTTTTTTCAAACTGACCTTGTAGTCCCATGCCGGACGAGAAGACGTGAGGAGCCGTAGGGTTTGGCGATGGTGACGAAGTGCCCTGGGAAGGAATCGGGGAATCCTGACGCTTTGTCGGCGGAAACAACCCGGGTGCACCAGTCAACGGCGGATTTATTGGAGGCGACGCTGAGAAGCCACGCGCCGGCGGAGACGTGTAGCGAGGCATGGCGGACGGACTGGGCACCCCGTAGCTTGCCCCATCTAGCTGTGAACCGTACGGTACCGAACACAGCTGATGGTCGAGAGCACCGCCACAGTTGGCGTCGAAGGCGGCCTGGGCTGCCTGGTTCAAGTATGAATAGTCCATCATTTGGCCTGTTTTAAGTGGAGAACGTCACGTCCTCTAATCTAGTCGAGCTGAACTAGAACGATGACCACGAATCGCACTATTCACACAACTAAAGGCTCAGCTCAATTCGCTAGCTGTTCGACAGTGGCTGTATGATCTTGTCCGCGTCTTGCTTGATTTGTGTTGAACTTAGCTAACCTTTGCCACACTCACGACCTTACTTGAAAGACCTACAGTGTAATATGGAAGCAGTGATATCTATAGTATTAAGCGTACTAGTAGAAGTGTTTGTAATCATAATAGTAAAGAGTTTATGATGGTGTTGGCGTATTTTTTTTCTGTGAATGAATTCGATGGATACACGCACACACAATCGAAGACGAACACGATAACACGCAGATAGGTGGTAGAAATGTGATGAAGGCGCGCTTCTTTGAACACCCTCGGGGGCAGATATAGTGTTGTTTCCGTTTTTGCTGTTGTATGTTGATGTGTTGTTACGGCTGCTGCTGCTGCTGCTGCTGCTGTTGTTATCTTTTCATTTGGTACCGCAACTACTGAGAGAAAGATTCTTAGCGTTTTCTGATTCGTGTTCTTTTCCAGAAGCCTCCGTCTTCCCAGGCCTGCCTTCTTCTGGCAGAGCTCCGGTAGGTAGGTAGGTAGGCAGGCACGATCACCTTGGCAGCAGGATTCAGGGGGAAAAGGAGATACAACACGCTAGCTAACTCAATTAGACCGGAGAGCACACTGAACAGCCACGAGGTTCAACATCTCAACTTGAGCTCCCTGACTCCGCCCCCCGACCGAGGGAAAGGGACGAGCAACCTCGTCAGGATCGAGAGAATTTGCGAGGGCGAGGAGGTGAAAGAGGGCGAGAGGTGTCACGGGAAAGAGGGCATAGGGAAGCTGAAAGAAGCGTAAGCTTTGGGGGTGCTGCTGCTCTATGTAAGATGGCATTGGATTATGGCACCTTGTCGAAGAGAAACGACCAGGACAATGAAGGTCTACTGCTTGGAAATGATCCTCAACTGGACTCGCTTTTTCCTTCTCCTACGCTCAGTTTCCCGCTACCGTTCCTGCATGCGCACGTATAGCAGCTAGTTTACAAGGTTAGATAGAGAAAGGGAAATGGAAAGCCGGTTGGTAGAAAATAAAGACAATACGCGCATTTTCAAAGTGGCGAGTGTTCCAGCTGCCTTTCAGTGAAATATAAGGCCGTGAGCGCATTAACGATTAATAATTGGGTGATTCTGATTGGGAAGACAACGTGTTTTTCACACCTATCGTTTGTTACAACATAAACTGGAGGAACCTACTGTATAATGTTTTTTAAGAGCCAGCAACGGCGTATTCGAAAAATTGTCTTAGGCTTATATATTAATTATTGAGGCTATTTTTAATTTAGGGTATATTAAACGATGAGCAGAGACTGTACGACAAGTAACAATAACAAATGTAAAAAAAAAGAGCCGAAGTCGAAATGAATCATTTATATATGTCATCTTCATTTATCATATCGTATTCGTAGTACCGTACTAACATATCGTATGAGTAGTGAGTACATTGATTGAATAGGTGGGAGGAAGGATCGACAATTCACAAATCTAGAGGCATGTCAAATAAGAGAGTTACAAAGTGTTCTAATTAGAGAGCTTTGGATGGCCAATATTTTACATAGGGTGACTGGGACTAATTCAATTCAACTTTGACTTACTTAGGTTTTAACCGTTTTTTGTTAAGTACTTGAATATTGCTAAGACACGCGTATATACAATAAATAGTTGTTCGTTCGTTTCCCCACGGCTCAAGAGAAAAAAAAAAACATTTTTTCTATATTTCTCTTGTAATTCGTGTATACTCGTGTACTAGGCGCATTTAGGTCGCAGAAGAGCACCTGTTAAAGGGAAGTTCTGAAATTGACCTTGAGATTTGTATGAACTTTTTGATTCGTTACGCGAGCTTATCAATTGGTATTCCTCTCCTTTGCTTGACTTCGAACGTTTCAAAACAAAGCAGTACAAAGTTTTGAAATTTTCTGTAAATCTCGGCACGGTCCTTTAGGCATGACCGTTCTGCATGCGCGTACCCGACCACAGCAATTCTATTTCTAGCGATTACGCAAAGCTATGTTTGAACAAAAATAACTATAAATATGAACATGTCTTTGTTTTAACAAAGACGGTGTCCGGCACCGCCGGTGGGCACTGCGTTGCGTAAGGTAAAAAAAAAAGTGTACGCAATTTCCGCTTACGGAACCACCTGCACATCTTTCGCCCATAGATAGCTAGTACATAGAGTTTTATTGCGCACGATCGACTTCGAGACAGTAGAATCTACACTAAAAAAATGAGTAGGTCCAAACTCAAAGCGATGCCAAAATCTACATAATGAGGCTTGCTTTATATACTTAAGCGAGACTTGGAACGTTATTTCGCTTCTGTAATAACGTTGCTATTGGCTTAACAAACCTCATCGTTCGAAAAATTAGTTATGCGAAATTGACTTATATTTTACAGGATGAAGTTCCGATACGGATGAGCTGTAAACAAACGTTTAGGTATAACAAAAGCTTTACGGAAACAACTATACCTATAGATTGGACTAGTTGTCTAACGAACTGGCTGATCAAGAGCACGTATAGCAGTAACGTGTGGGCAAAAATTTATACTATGAATTTGTACTACTGTAGATCTGCTAGGAGTCTATATGCCGTAATTTCTAAAACACTAATTAGGATTTTTATAGTGGTTCCTAAAAATGAATGATTCAAATTTAACATATTGTCTCTATAATATTCTAGGAAGGTTATAGTTGGAAAAATTTATTACCTGGTAAGCAAGCTAGGTGTAGCCTACATTAGATAGGTACAATAATTATTGGGGGGTTATCTGTTACCTTATCTATTACAGGGTTGGGCGCCCAAATTGTCTTTTCTTAATGTTTAAGAATGTATGTAAATAAAGACAGAGTTTTGAACAATGATGGCAATGATATTTTTAATAAGTTCCACTGAGGATTCTGTAAATGACACATACCCGAGTCAATCATCAATACTGCCAGCTAACGGTCAGGTTTATATTTTGACCCACATGCGAGTATTTCCTTTCATTTAGATATTTCGATAGATGGGACGCAACAATGCTTCACTCTGCTGTAAAGGTCTCGGTTGGAGTGTGCATGATACACAGCTTGAGAAATCGAACCATATCATTCCCACACAAGAAACACGGGTCTAATTTTTATACAGGGTGAAGTTTATATATATGTATATATATACATATATATATGTGAAGCGTATAAATAATTCAGGGAGAGGGTGTAATTAAACTTGCGATTGGGTGAGAAGTAAATCTACGCTTAGGAAAAATAGGTTTCCGAGTCGACGTAGGGTAACACTTGAAGCGGTGTTTTTTTTTGTAAATAATTTTGTTCTTCTACCTGGTAACCTATTTTTTAACTACCCAACTGTTAACATCGTCTCATTTGCACACACTTGCACACAATTACTGTTCAGTGGGCAAATTTGCAGCTTCAAGCGTTCAAGCAACAAAAATCAATATATTTCATGGAAGTTTAAGACGTAAAATAGGCCAGAAACGAGGCATGGGATTCAACGATGTAGGTGCTACTTTCTTCAGGTAAATCCGTCGGATTTTTTGTAGCTTTCTTTATTTTAATCATTTATAATTGTACAGGTGATACTTTTGTACTTTCATAGCACCGCGTCGATTTTTCAAATCATGAACCATCAAGTGCGTTAACGTACATACGTGTGCATCCTAATATGATCGAGAATTAAACAATTTTTATATATGCCAGAGACGTAACAAAATCTTTTTTATTTACATATATTTTATAGAATTAATTTTGTTAAAATTGTTTTTCACAGGTATAAATAGCATTAAGAAAGACAGCTAGTCCATCCAGGCGCAAGGTCTGTTACAGGACAGGGTGAGTGTACATCGTAGCGTTAATATACAGCTGTGTTCTTTTCCCCTATTGGGAGCAGGTATAATCTTACGGCGCATCTTACTATTTAATAGGGTTTTGATTCTCATTTTTGTCTACTGACACCCGGATAACATGTTATTTATAGTGTTTATTATGGCATCAATGAATCACCTAAAACGCACGCAATGTAACGTACGAAGTAAAACATACTATGCGGAAAACTTAGCAAAGCATTGCACACTCCTCGTTTTAATCGTGGTCTTTTTTCTTTTTTCAAAAAGTGCATTATAATCATTTAAAAGCTCGAACCAAATGCTGAGTGATCTGAAGTCTTAGCTATATAGGTTTGGTAACTGCGGCGGGTTTATTTTAGCCCGGTCTGAATCGTATTCGAGTACCCAAGCGAATATATAGAGTTATACTTTCCATACTTGCAAGAGGCCTCTTCAGCCGAGAGATTTGCGGCCAGCTTAGCTTCATAAATGCGCAAAATGTATCGTACATTTCACTGGCTAAATCGCTTTACGACTTACTATCTGTGCGATATCATCTTGAAGATCCCAAGATGACCAGACTGGTGTCATCCGGTAGCTAGACGTATCCAACTTCAATCGTGTCTCCCTTTCTTTACATCTAGACACATATATTTCTAGTTCGGAGAGGACAGCTTCTCTCTCTACCAGCCGTGGGTTATAGCGTTGTCTGCTCTGCAAGAAATCGGCGGTAGACGCCACGTTAACCCACTTAGCTTGATTCCCCGGAGCGCCAACACTGCGTCTTTGGCGCGTCTCGAGGTTCGGTGATCTTGATCTCACCGCGCGGCTCAGTCTTCGATCTGAATGAGCATTGGGTCCTCGTAGCGCGCTGCATGCGTCCCGCTGAGAGATAGATGCTTTCCGGGGCGACTTTGTATGTGTGTCAATTTGCATGTTCACCCACAAGATTCTCCTTACCTGAATGAGGCCGCTGTATACTAGAGCACGTTGATCATAGATATGAACACCAGTTTGCATGCTACTGTGGTGTACCGACATTATATTGAAGTTTTTTCGCATGATGCATGATGAATGGAGTCCTTGAAAGTCCCGCGTGCCCATTTTAAAGCGTGACGATTTTTCTTAGATGCTGTGTAGCTGAATCGACACTGCCGTTGAAGAATCTACTCAATGTGTATATATATATATTATGATTATGCCATTTCAGACGGCGTAACAGCGCTGATGTAACAGAGTGACCAGTGGCTGATTTCTAGTATTTCGTTGAGTTCTTTAATAATAATAATAATAGTGACAAACCCACCGTCAAAGTGGCTCTGCTGTAAAAGAAGACCGATTTGAAAATAGATGTAACTATACTGTAATTGAATATTTGAGTACCGCGTCCACATAGACAATATATCTAAGGAAGGGTGAGAGGAGGCAATATAGGCCATTCCATTTTTTCTAGCAGTTTAATGCTGATCTAAATTTTTCAATACTATTAAAGCTAATTTCTTTAGAAAACCTTAGAATTATGCACGAGTCAAACATTTCGAGAGGATATTTTCTTTGACCAAATTTCAATAGGTAGCGCTATGTGGGAGGGCTTTTTCTTCGGAGTTTTCGGAGCTTCTGTCAAATGAAAGAAACACAAATTTGCCAGCTTGTTTTTCTTCCGCAGTTTAGCCCGTTCCAAAGATACACTTTCAAAAATAGACTAAAGACGAGTTATATAACATGATCACGCTGGAAACTATATATATATAGGTCGTGATGCAGTGTGTCCATATATCTTACTACGTTGTGAAACCGGGTGCTGTGAATGCAAAAATTGAAAGAACCAAGGCATGATCCGTCCTAGTAAAGATCATCGTAGGTTTGCGGTTGTCGTACCGCATGTCATTGTAGGTTGCTTTTGAAGGAACCCCCTGACGATTTCATCGGTATAACGTATCATTCGGAATAGTATTGACCACATCGCAGATAGCCACGCGAATTTAGCTTGGATAATTATTTGTACCCCAAAATATGTATAACCATGGCAGTTGTACAGACTTGAATGATATCAAGTTAGCTTTGGAGAACGGTGCATGTACTGTGAACATTCATCGAAAATGTAAAACATAGGCGGGCTGCCAATACTTAAGTTGTTCAAAACCCGGCTTCATACTACGCCGCAGAACTTGTGTATGTGAATCTATCGTAGACAGATCTCTGACGTACTTAACTTGACAGTAAGTTATCATAAAACAGCTAGTCGTAACGCATATAACTCTTTCTAGAAGAAAATCCATACGTTTTCTAGTTTTCTTGAATGAGTGAGTCGTTACATGAAATCATTAGTGATTCATATAAACCCACTTCTCCCTCGTAGAACGTAGCCTTGAAAGGTCAACGAATGTCTTCAATGGATATTTTTTCATAGATGAATTATTTCTAGTAATTTTATGTGGGCGGTAGAATACAAGGCCTTTTGGGAAACATACGGCTTTTCTCTCCGCTTGTTGTCAAAGAAAACGTTAGCAATATGTATGTATGTATGTATGCCGTCGAATGAGAAAGCCGTTCAGAACTGACAGCCCCAAGGTATAAGAAGCAGTTCATAGCTAGAAAATGTTTGGATTAAGAACATTAGTATAATAATTTACTCTAAAAATGCTGATCCTTTTAAAGTCATGCATAAATAACGTTTCTAAGCTGAAACTTTATAGTGCTTAGTTCGCGCTAGCCAACTGAAATCGGAGTAGAGGCAACGGATTCCAAACCCCTCTTTGTGCCAACTGATTCGAACATAACGGATAGATTTGAAGAACATTTATGATAACATCATCTACCTGGGCTACCCTGTATATATGAACAGGAGCGGAGAGTTTATGTCCTGACGAAGCTGGTCGCTAACGTGAAGTGACCTTGGGGGGAAAGGGGGCGGGTGGGGGGTAAGCAGGTCTTCTGCTAACCAAAACGATCAGCCATTTAACACGACGGGTGGGTTCTAACCACGCATTCAGCGGTTACAGATCTAAAATAGGTAAGCAGACACCAGCTAGAGAATTCAATGCTATCACACAATGCAAACGAATCGTTCTCAGTGGTCTTTTTCACTGCTATGTGGATAGAATATGGTCCTAAAGTTAGAAAGGTTCGCACTTCAACAATAGAACTCGTTACGGCCGCATGCTGCTTACGTTGCATTTATCTTTGGGTACGGTTAGCTTAACTGAACTGCTTGAGAGATGACGAAAAAATCCTATTCGAATGGTCATTTATAGCAGCTGAACGACGCCCCCGCAACATGCAGGTCTTTGCTCACCAAGGACATTTCGACTCGCTGGGATGCCAAGGCTATGTAGGCCCGAATGAACTCCCTGAACACTTCGTGTGTCCTAGCCGACAATGACTAGGTAGGCCCGGAACGGAAAAGACTTTAGTGGTTGTAGCGTACTTCGGTTTAAAAATCGAACCGACTACACAATCACAGAGTGACTGTGTGAGCGAGACCGTTCCATGCACCTTGAGCAGCCTGCGCTGCTGAGTCCTTGCGCACTAAGTCATCTCACCTAGGCAACGAGAAGTAATTGTTTGATGCTCATTTAAAAAATTGATTCGGAAGAGGCAGGACACAACCAGCGCGCGCGAACTAACTGGTGGGCGGTCGAGATACCTTAATTCACTGAGGTATGTCCGAAACTGTGAACTGCATTTAAATTAAGGTTATTTCCTTCCTGTTCGATTAAAAAGTGACAAGTTTGCTTGTAGACGCGAAAAACCGGGGGTGGGCACAAATGCATTTTTGAGTCTGGTTTGATCACTTCGAGAGGTTTGTTAGAGAGTGTATGGGAGTGATCGTACTGCATGTGTATGTATGTCTCCATCTGTGTGTGTGCGTGTTTAGATGTAGTCTGATCATTAAACCAGGGCCGTCGTAGGCTGGTCTCAATGGTACGTTGCTGATAGCGCAGCGGGCGTTGCGCTAGTGAAGGCTTACCGTGAACTGGATGAAGTGAAGTGGTGGCGACGGATCACTCAGTAGCTGATAGCCACAGCAGCGGTAGGAGACGGCCAACCTCTCCATGTGACAAATGACCGGTTTAACAATAGCGCGCCAGCCACTGCTTGGGTTCTCCTCGCGCAGTGAACGCACAACACCTAGGCTGCTACGTCAGGAACACCTAGGCGCATCCCTCATATGCTGAACACTTCGTGCGGCTTCTGCAAATGGCGAAGAGAGTGAAATTAGCTGAGTCGGAAGGGGGAAAGAGATCATGTGGTGGGCCTGAACAGCGCCTTCAAACAGGCACCGACACTTTATTATATAAAGTCTGTGTTTCTTCTAAACGAAGTGTTCATTGAGGTTTGTTTAGGGATACAGGAAGCAAGATACGCTGGTATATCGTAGTGAGTGACTTGAGGCTGAAATAGGTAGATATGCAAGTCTCCTCTTGTACGAGTTAGCTCGTTTCATGCGTGATTTTACAATAATTGCCTAACTAGTCAGCTAGTAGGCTTATTAGCTATATGACGTACCGATGTTAAAGCATGACATAACGAAGACAATTTCGAACTTTTTTTTTTGCAGATTTAGTTATCTATGTTAGATCAAAGTATGCGCTAATATTAGTAGCTTATGTATGCCATTACTGTAGAAATCTACTAGGTACGAAAATCTACTAGGTTTTAAACAGCAACTTCAACAACATCATGCTGACATCGGATAATTTTTTATAGAAAGATTTAAACAAATGGTAAACTTTGGAGCAATATATGGCGGATGACTGACGGTCTCCCACTGTAACCCCTGCATCCTAACCATCGTAATTCTTGCGGTGTGACTTCATGTTGTTGTGCAGAGATGGCTCATTTTTGCTTACTGAGTAGTATTTTCTCATCTTTTCCGATTGTTGACAATACAAGTCAGTCATAATCGACGATAAAGACTCAAAAAGCTCTGATAATAACACCTACACTACCAAACAGATAGTACAAGTTTTTGTAGTTGTACATTTGCTTTCGGACAACGTTCCGCCGGTCCAGTTGCATCCTTTTAATCCTGGTGTGACCCCCTGCAATTATCAGGGATAATAACTCATCACAAGTCACGATTCGGTGCAAAATTGGGTCACTGATGTCACACTACAGCAAAGAAAAGCTAACGTCTCTACGTCCTTATTCTTGATTCTCATTCAAATCCTGTAGCACCCATTTGTTTGCCTAATTGATTCGGCCTAGGTGAAGAGGTACAGCGTTTCCACATAAACTTAACCTAACTGTTAACAGTCGTGCACTTTGAGATGTACTTTCATCACAGCTTTCAACCCTTCGATCTCGCCTTTTTCAGGGGCTCTTCCACAAAAAGTATTCATGAAAAAAAGAGAAAGAAAAAAAAAAGAAAGAAACTCGAATTCATAAACCACTCAGATTTTCTGATTTTACATGGTTCAATACAATCCGTTGCTAAAAACTCAAGAATAATATTCAAGTGAACGATCTCATAAATCAAATAGTACAAGTGGATCCGTACTGCAGAAAAATGTCGCGCCGTTGCTAAATACTTCCATTTTAAAATACGGGTAATGCTTCATGCAAGATGATTTAGTAGAGTGATAACTACTGACTCCTGAATTACACGAGGCCTAAATGAAGTCTTAGATTAATATTTTTTTTTTATAAAAAAAACGTTTGAGTAACCATCATAAGTTTAAACTATTCGTTTTTTTGACCGGCCATCAACCTGAAGCGAGTCACAACTTTCGACTTTTGAGGTGTTTTTCATCACCGCTACAGAAACCGTGAAGAGGGCGCACTCAGTGCCTCGTAGCCGTAGAACCTCCATATGTACCACAATAGCTCAGATATCATCAAGCTTGAGTTGAGCATACTGTAAGGTATTCTTTGTATTAGGCGTGGTCGATCATTTACTTTGATTTGTCACTGTTGTTTATTCTGACCAAAGAAATCCTAGATAGCTTTAAAAACGGAATACAACATTGTAACAAGGTGGAAAAAATCACTTGAATTAATAGTAGAAATATAATTCTGAAAGTCACGAGCCTGACGGACCGAGCGTCACCTGAACGTATTGTTATAACTTACCCCTATCTGACTGTTTTTTGGATAGAAGAATTGAAGTTTGTCATTATAGTCAATATGCTGGATGCCTCTTTCAACTGAACTTAACGTCAATGTACATATTCTGTTTCTTCGTTAAGATTTTTTGATCTCCTACAATGGTACTATTGCGCTAATGGCCACAATTAAACCGGATCAGAGATCTTTAGGTTTTCCATGAATCAACAATTATTCAGGCTCTGACATCTGTGAGCAGTTCTATGGTGGCGTCAACATAGAGCCGCAGATAGAAATCGAAACTGTCCTTTTCGTAAGAAAACGTTAAATTTTAATTTTTTAAAAGCAGTTTTTATACTTTTTGATCCACTGATCAAAAACTAGTTGCGCCAATGCTTCAATGGGCACGGCAAGCAAGCCACTCTCCTAAAAATAGGGTTGTTAATACGGAAATGGACGGGGTGTGAAAATTTGAAAAGAGAATTTGAGCGACGACTGCGGTGATGGGGTCGATTCGGGTTCTCGAGGTGCGACTGTGAGCTATGTTGGCATCCAGAAGCAACCACAGAAGCTCTTGCTATGATCAGCCATATTATTCGAATCGCTTAGAAATACTAATCTGCCACGGCGGTGGGTCGAATAACGCTGCTTCGTTTGTTCTTTAGGTGAGGAAAGAGCTCCTGCGTCGATTTAAATGCCGTTAAAATTGACATCGTTTCCTTTTTTCTTCTGTGGGCTTTTTTTAATTTCAAGTAGAGATAAACATATTTTAAAAAATCAATTGAATAAATATCAGACTGGGTTGCGTTGACCACAAAACAATTATGGTACACTGGTACTTGATTTACGTACACAACCGGCGTCATGCTGATGCAATTAGGCCTGACTTTGTGTGTGCGCCTGTATTTAGCGGTGGAAGACTTTGAGCTAGGCAAGCAACTTTTGATGCTTGTGATTAGAAGACTAATAGAGCACTTTTTGCTAAAACGGTTGAACTGGTCCGACCTCGACATAGTTTCAATTGTAGTTTATGTGAAAAGTTGCATCGATATTATAACGTCAAAGGCGTAATCATATAGATGAATTGACAATGTCATAGTTTAATCTACCTGCGACTAAGAACTTGCGCAGTGAGCAAAATAACATGTAGAGCTTCAATCGGACTTGTAATATCTTCGTACTTCACGGAATCGTTAGAGCAAATGAATATATGAAGCCATACATTGAATTGCGCTTTTTTATCCACATCGAAGCGATAGGTCATAAATCACTGGCTCATCATGGGCGAGAGACGCCTCTTCCCGCTAAGTGGGATCTAGCCTGGCGAGCGAGCGAGCGAAGCAAACATGGTAAAAAACACACAATGCCCCCTTCCTCGGCCTACCCTTAGCTTTATAAATTGAATTGTGATTCTGTGTGTGTGCCCAAGGTTCTTATTTTTCACAGACGCTGAATTCCGTGTCCAATTAAGCACCTTATTTATATTAACAAATGTGTATTTATTGGCTATTTGCTTTAAACGTTTATCTAGAGCAAGCTTAGTTTATTGAAAATTGCAGACAAATCAAATAGATAATTCAATCATTGAATTTACAAAAATGAACAGTTTTGATTAACCTCATTGCCAACGGCTGGTGGCACCCTACACAGCAAATTTTGTGGTTCAAAGATATAATAGAAGCTTATTATTTTATAAAGATTTACTTAAGAATCTCATATTCTGTAAGCTCAAAAGTTTCAGATTTATTAGAGTATTTTCTGCTTAGATCTATGCTCCTCGTTTTTTTACGTCACAATAAAATGTTTGTTTAATCCTGACACCTAAGAACTTAGACACAATGCGCTGTACCCCATGATCACCATCCAAAAGGCCGACTGTTGATAATAGTTGAACTCATAATGGTTAACACCCCGTGTTGTTTGAGTACATTCAAATTTTATTAGCTGACTCAATACCTTTACTTTTCTTTGTAATTATTAAAAAGGCCTCACTTATTATCATCCAGTTATTTATGACTAACGAGATTCATGTCTAATATCTTGCTTGCCGTGGCTATAGCACATTCTTGAACTTCTAACTACACCCTCTAGTTTGTCTTTGTCCAGGGTCGCCAGTAGTCATATAAGACTTTATCCCAACCGCCTTTAGCACTACCATTAATCTATTTTTGCGTAATTCGTAGACTTAGGCCATTTTTAACGACTTTTTTTTCAAGCTTTCATTAGGCTTGCATATTCTTTCTCTGCGCCAAGGTTTAGCGTGACTTCAAATAGCCCTTATGTGTCTATCCTTACTATATTGCAGGCTTATTTCTTGCCGCCATTCCGCACGTTTCTCATTTGCCACTCCTAGCAACCCCACGCCCCTGTCCCCTCGTCCATTCCTTCAGTGTTTACTCACTTGAGAGCACCGTCTTCAGCAATCTGTCCCAAAGTTGTTTTTTTCTTTCTCGTTATCTCTCTTTCCCGCTACTCACTATCGTTCTGCGTTTTTCTCTTCCTACTCAAAGCAGGTATGTGACTTTATCTCAATTCTATCAGCTGATCTCGTTCCCTATCTGATCTTTTTTTGCTCTCGATTGCTCTATTCGACTCTCATGAATCTGGTTTTGTACAAAGCAGACGCGCTTCAAACTGCAGCGCGCATCGGCGGCGTCGTTCGTCGGCTCTATCCTTGTTGCTTTCTTCTAGGTAGTAACTTTGCCGCTTACATTTCACTAGTGCCATGCTAGTTTCACCCAACAGTGACCCAATGTAGAGGTCGTCGTCCCTCCTGCTATCCCTGGCTCATTTCCCTGCCGACTCCCTAGGGAATGATGGGAAACACAGACTCCCTTATAGGAAGCATGCAAAGTGGCACCATCCGCTAAAGAAGTTCGAATGAGATCGACATGCCGATAGGAACTGCCAACAGCGCAGTCACCACACCGTAGGCCTAATGTTTGAAGACGGCATATGTTGAGGGCTTAACGGGAATAGGGTTACTGGTGAAGAAATCGTATCTCAAAAAAGTAACGCCGATGGCAGCGACGCGCAACGTCATAAGGTGCCACAGACTGATGAATGAATCAGGAAGCGTCTAAGGACGCATAATGGCACGGTTTTTAAAGTAACAATTATCATCATTTTGGACATCAATCATCATTCGCGTAAAAGTTTTAACTAAGAATCATTGGGCCAATTATAAACAACAACACAAGAAAGGTTGGTTATGCTGTGGGTTACTGAACTGGCCTGTGAAAATGGATTTCATCAAGACGGAAAACATCGACCATTTTTTCTTAATCTCCCGCCATTGTAGTAAAAAGTTGTCTTACTAATTCTAGACACATTTTTGACGGAATCGGAAAAAGAAAGGACGAAGTATATGAATATATCTGACATTCGTTGTGAAAAGCAGGTAGGCCATGCAAAAGCCAAATAAGATAATCACTCACGTTGCCTTTAGTCAATTCGAATTCTACCTTGTTGGTGTAATAACAGCATTCTTCCGAAATACAGGCCCTATTCTGATTAAGATTTTAGTTTACCTGGCCCTTACCTTGATTAAAGATAAGGAAACATCTAAACCGTTATGAGTAGTGTCAAAGTAGGAACCAGTCGCGACTAAGCTAAGTCGATCGGTCGGGTGGTCATTTTGCGCTTCGGTAACTCCAAAGAGGGCACATGCCGTAACGGATTCAATACTGCATGCTCTAGTAAGCACTTAGAACTATGTGAAGTTGAGAGCACACTCATGTGTGAACAAAACCTCTTACCACATTATCATCTATGCACTAAGGTCTTTGTGGCAGTTTCAGGAATCGTTAAGTTCAAGTAATTAGTGGTGCAGATATTATTAATATTTTCATGGATGATGTTAAAATAAATGTGTTACAGTTTACGGGGCCCTAACTTGACTGTGACGCGAGAGGCCTGTTTTTACCAATAGTGGAGTAGAGACAATCAGTTTGCTTTGCTTTAGCAGCAAAAGTCTTTCTGTAGTGTCCTGCCAGGTCATTTAAACGCCTCGTATAATATGATTCTAAGTTATATTTCCCGGACCATTTCCTTGTTCCTATTAACAGAAGCAATGAGTCAATTATTTTTTTGTCCCAACTAAAATATTCTCCCTGTCGTTTACGTTATTGGATTCTTGTAACTTTTTTTTAAGGGATCTCGGTTCTCTTTAAGAACGATCGTATCTGTTTGTAAACGCATAGAAGTACATATCCCCCGACGCAGGAAAATCTTCGGCGTCTTCTACAACGCGTGGCGGCGATGCTGCCTATTTCAAAGCCGCGTCTGCCGTCACGTGACTAACGCAGGCATAGGGCCTTCGGCTTCATATCCGGGGGATCTTTAGTGCCATCGATCTGGCGGTGCTATGCACGCGAACATAGTTTCAAAGAAAATTATTAGCAGGTGGCTCGCCACTCGAGAATCGGCGTGATGCAGCCCTGGCAAACAAGTGAAACAGTCGGTGAAATAAAGGCGCAAAGGCAGCCTTAGAACGGGGAATGCGGAGAGCGATCCTTTTCTTGATGTGGAGTGAAGAAAACTGTCACCGCTCATTTATGTCAAGTAGGAAGTACTCCATGACACTGCTGCTGGCAAACTGGCCAGCACCTCGGAGTCGGCAACCGTCTCTGTGTTTCTTGGGAAAGTGTCCGTTCCCACGGTGATCGCTGGCTCCTTATTACACGTTCATTCGTTTGTTCGCTCGTTCGTTTGTTCGTTCGCTCGATAGGCGTTTCTTGATGATCTTGTAGATGACTCCTGGGCTCGTGCCGCCCTGGCTTCTTCTTATGCGCACACAGTTTGACTTGCTTCCCTGAACCAACTACACTAGGCGGCGATCTCTTTATGTGTATAGATCTAAGTTCTGTGCAAATGTGCACACTGCATCGTGGACTGTACCACAGAGCTTCTCATTTATTTCGATGTCTGTGTATGTCGCGATGTGTCACGCGCCGTTGATGGTGGTGCTCCTTATGCCATAAAACAGCAACTAGCGCGTAGCCAGTGCAAAAGGCACTGGCCACTGTGAGCCTTGGGCGTGCGCCGCTATAGTCAGGTGCCTCCGTCACAGGCACACCATCGCGGTGATACTGTGACATCAGCCCTTACTGATCCTGGCAACAGAATCATCTCCTTCTCTCTTTTGAACTCGCTTTTCGACAACAGCAGCAGCTAGGAGTCGGCGCAATCGACAGCCTCTTCCCCCGAAGGAAACGCTCGCCTTCCCGTGTACATGCGCCTTTGTATGCTGAGACATCGACTTGCGGCAGGGTGTCTCTGATGGAAGAAACGCGTGCCACAGTCATTTATTGTCGATTTCGCCATTGCAGCAGCATTGCCCGTTCGCCGTGCGCACGAACTATTCGTAGCTGGTGCATAGGGTGTGTGCACTTGTGCTAAAGCAGGTATCGGAGACAACATGTCAGAGATAACAAAAGCGATGCATTGTACGTTGTCCACTGTTTACTTGCCATTGATGCATGTATGTGTGCAAATCTATATCGGGTTATATCGCCTACCAGATCTGCTGTTAGTAGACGGAGAGTTCGTGGCATACGGCAGCGACAGCGGAACACCAATTCTGCTGACCCTAGCGCACAGTATGTTTTCTGCTTTCCGCCTTCTATAAAAGGCGAGAGTGGCAAGTGCATAAGTGGGGAATCCCTATGTATAGTTTGTTACGCGGCAAAAAGAAAAGGCGCATGAAACTGATAGCAGCGAACAAAACGAAGGACGTTCAAAAAAAAGTATTGATACTGCCGTAGGTATTAAAGCAAAGTATTGACTTTCCTCTGGCTGTTGTTATTGTTGCATTTTTATGAGAGCTGCTGTAATTTTCAAAAAGGGTAGACAACAATAACTAGAACTGATGCAGGAACCACTGTTCTGCATGGGTCTAGTAACGAGGCGTGTATTTTGTATTGTTTGCGCATTCTCATCGGTGTAGTTATGGGCTGAGGTCGAACCCTGTATAGAAGAGGGGAGCACTGTACACTCACTGGTAGAGAATTAGAGAGACCAGCAAACTACTTACAGGGACAAGGCCTACCTGAGTCTGTGCCTTTCTCCTCCTCCTCCTCTACTTTCGATTTCTTTTAGTTAACACGTGAGTTGTGACGACTATCGTGTCAAGCGATGCCATTGTAGCAATTTGAAAATTTACGATACGTTACCTCCTACAAACATTACAACAAGTCTATTCTCGACTTGTGAAAATGCTGTTCGTCGTACCGTTAAACCATATGCGACATCTACTCCACGTACTGACTAATATAACCGTGCTTCATTATATATATATATAAAGTAAGTAGACAGATGTTTTTCTCATTACAGCAAAATGCTCAACTTCAATCGGCGAAACAGGGGTTTATGCCTTGTGCATAACCAGTTAGACCCCTTGAAAAGTACCATCTATGATTACATATTGAAAGTACACTAATCTATGCTAATGAAATCTGTCCTATTATTACAAAAAAAACGTTATGGAAAAATATATACTTACATTGGTCATTCAAAACTTTGAATACTCATCGAACGAAAACGTGCAAGTTTTAGCAATTGAAGGATCAAGTAAAGCGTGCAAACGTTCCGTTAAAAACAATTGGTGCAACAAAACCAGTGCTTTAGTGCGCATTGAAGTCGAAAGAGCCAAAACGAAGAAAATATAAAGACAAAACATTGCCAAAGAAGTATCTACATAAAATAACCAGGTGTTGTAGTGCAAGTAAAGATCTGCATGTGCGTGTGTGTATGTTTTCGTGTATGTATTTATGTATATCCACAGAATATCACCAGCTATTTCTTCGCTTAGCTCTCTTTCCTCTTTTTGCGATATACGACTATTATGGTCTTGTTCAATTGTCTTTGGCCACGGTGCACTTGCTAGGTGATTCTGGGCAACCTCTATCGATCTTAGAAGCTTAGTTAGGAGTTGCAGATTCCCACGATTTTGAAATTCCCCGGGGATTGACGCGGGTGTACCTGCTATCATCGGCCATTCAGTAAATACTGCTCGCCACACTTCGGTGTCAGGGACTAACAGCAACAAAAAGGACAATTACAAACAGCAGAAGGACTTCCCGCCAGTTCAGATTCACCAATGAGATACACTGTGGCTAACAGTATCAAACGTTTAGATGTGTAAGCGAGTAATGGTGCCAGCGAAGCCAAGACATTAATGTTTGATCGAGCCCTCTATTCGCACTGTTCTCCTCTTCATTCAACATGTAGAACATTTTCTAATCAGTATTCAATGAAAAGACCAACGTTATGATTTGGACTGCATGTTGCTATTATTGTCCTTGTTCAACGATAGGTACCCCGTATTCAGTTTAAATCATAAAACAGGTCGCAGGTCAATGTCAGTTTGATAGTGAGACAAAAGTCTACACGTAGTTAAGTACAGCAATTGAAATCCTGCTTCAGATGCGAGCAGATCAGAGGTGTATCAAGGCGTAGACGACGATAATGACAACAATAACAACATCAACAAAAGTAGCTAAGGCGAAAGCAAAGAAAAAAGAGGAGGCGTGAAAAACAAATAACAGCAGCGCAAACACATTGTAAGAACACTAGTCGGTATTTAAGTATATATATATATATATATATATATATAATATTAAGTCTCTTTCCTTCTTTTTCTCGCTTAGGCATCTATGAACGGTGAGCTAACTTGTATATGCGGCACAACAAACTTTGGCCGCGCGCCGTTTTCCTTTGGTTAGGCATGTGTGGCTAGCCCTGTTCACTCATATAAATTGTGTACTATGACGTGGGTATGCGTATCGTCATTTACGATAGATCTATTTCACGAAGCTTTAATTAAACTAACAAATCGTTTGGGTCTTACGTGCTACCGCTGTCAGGCCTTGCTTCAAACGGCAGGTTTTTATTACGAAACGAATCGTATCCACGGCCGGTTTTAGTAGGCAAATGCATTATCACAGTGCTATCACAAAGACCACTAATTGCCCAACTAGCTTACTGTAAACGATCCAATATCACCTCCACTGAAAAAATGAGAAAAGTACAACGCTTAGTTTGTGCTAAGGTGTGAAGGTAAGAATCGTCTGCTCACCCTTATGTGACCAAAATTACTTCAACAGTGTTTGCGAGTACACACGAATTGTTAAACCTTTTCTATAAAACGCACAATGAATTTTTTTTTAACAAAAAAATATCTACGAAACATTTTTTACGAACAACATTTCGCCACGATTACTAAATTGTTTTTGGGTTATTTTGTTGTTTCCCTGGGAAAACACCCGAGCCGTTTGGGTAGTATAAATATACTATCTCAGATCTGCGTTCTTGAACGATTATAAGCTTTAAAACTCATTAATACTTTACATATCCCGGAATCAAAGGCCACTGTATTATTGGAATGTGGCGGATCCAAAGTGTGCCAGTAACTACAAATGCAAAAATTGTTTTTCGTATTTTTAAACAATTCCACGTTACAAGAAACAAGCCTTTCGTAGCGTGCAAAAGCGAACAGATAGATAGCTCTTGGGTGCTCTAGGAAGCCATTTATTCTTGATGCTATCACGACCTTTTCTAAACAGGCTTGTCCAATCTGGGAAAAACATAATTGGATATAACCGTACATATTTAGTTCACACATCGCCGCCAAGAAATTTTGACTTTCGAAAAAGCTCACGATCATTGTTGTTTGACAATTTCAGTATTTTTGCTAGAGGCCACATAATTTTACAATGATGACAAACACTTTTAAAATAAAATCAAACACGGTTTAATTCACAGCAATGAACTGATGCTACATGCTATCAGCTAATCAGAGCTATTAGTTTATTCTGTGCCGATTCGATTCTTCCTCTCTCGGTGCATTTCATGAAACATTTTTTTGTGGAGCATAAACCTTCGTAATTATACTATATCAATACGTTCTATTCGTTATATAATTAGTTGATTTCACGCGTAATGCCATGGTAATAGTTAGATGAGTTAAAAGTGAAGAGACTTATAACGGACTTTAGAAATTCTATATTGAGGCAAATTAACAACATTTTGCTTCCTGGTACGCACACAACACTGGCGAAAAATTTGCAACAGTAAAGATTATCTTTCCGAACCTGCAATGCTATATTTTTATTGTTCAGCAAGAATACTATCGGGCTCGTAAATGTCAATACATTTTAAAGTATAAGTTATTACTATCTCAAGATTAAGAACCTTGAAGGTAGAAAAATGTATTTAAAAAAAACATTTCACAGTCGGAGCAGACTACACGCTTCGAATAAAATCGCTTATCTTAGCAAAGTGTTCGATAGAAATCTATATATTAGATAATGCAATTTAGTGGTTATTATGCCTAGTGAACGTGTTCAAATATGAGTGCTCTCCTAGCACTAAATCAACTAGTTATCCGGTTCAGATCGGATGTGTAACAGCCAATAAAGTAAAAGCGATCGGAGCACAAATTCAAGATTCGCGCCTTTAGATTTTGTCGACCCTCAGGAATTTTACTACCTGAAAAACATTTCACACAGAATCCAAACGCTTAAAAATTGTCCAGCTCGCAAGGCCATTCACAGATTCTTGACGAAGCTTAAAGGATTCGAGGTTAAAATAAGATCAAGCGGATTTAGCGCTCTTCCGCCTTATTGGCGTGTGTCTGTAGTTGAGGCCAGATTATCTCCATTCGTTTTGATACCGTCAACAAAAGTTTGTTTATAGCTAAGGGCGAGGCGGTATGGTGCTACGCAGTGGAATATGGCGTTGTATTCAAAGATCGGCTCTTTTCTGAAGCATACCTGGATTTCTAAATAAATTTTAATTTAGAGCTTTCGGCAGCAAGTCTGGACAAGTATTTATTCTCAACTTTCGCAATGTCTAGTTGACTTATATGATTTGGATCTTAGTACTTGTGGAATCTAAATCTAATGAACCTATAAATCGCGCAGTCAAACGAACATTATGTATGAACAAGCAGGCTGAGCTCTTTTTCGTTGGCAGTCTACTTGCCCCAACTTGTGTTATTGAGTGAAACGATGATTCCAAGGAGCGAAAGCGCCGAACCACCCGGTGCGTTCATCTTAGTGAAATGGTTCTGTTCGGCCGTCAAATTCTGCTTAGGCGTGCAATTTGACGTAACCTATTATTTTTATCTTCGCCGGCGTTTTGCCAAATTTAAGGGGTTTTGCCAAGTTTTTCTACGGTCGTGGAAATCATTCGATGTGTTTCTTGCCTGTAGTTTGTTGGTCACTGATGATCTAGTGCCATTCCGCATTACATCTGAAAAAAATATGTCTGCTACTTTTCGAGGTCTGCCTCTGAAATGGGTGCTCTTCTTTAAGGTCTTACCTTACTAGCTTCTTCAGTCTATTAAAAGATACAGAAAGTGGCCGTTTCCCCTCTTCAAAAGCAGGTTCTAATTATGTTCTTATTTTCAATGCCAAATTTTAATCTGCGATTGAAATTATGTTGCGTTACTTATTAGTTAGAAAAGAAATGGTTAGTACATTGACTAGCTTTCGAAAACAGACTTATGTAATAAAAACAATCCACACAATTGTCATATATCAAACATAATTTTTTTCTATTGCATGTTTACACAGCGTCTAATCAAGGGGTCGACTGATAGCAAACCATTATTTTCGTTTTCGTTTCGTATGAAGCCTCTCAACTAATTCTATATAGGTGAACTTTTGCTGTAATTCATGTTCCGTTCTAGGAATAAAATACCACTAAGTGTACACGAATTCTTAAAGCTATTCTCTTTGTTCTTCTTCGTCATGTCCTCGCATGTGTACGCTATCCCTATTGATTTCTGCACATTTGAAGTTTTTGCGATTTTTCTCGTCTGCTGGTGGCGTAAGAGTATTCTTGATGGTTTTACTGATTTCTGCAGCTCGTGCACAGGCAATCTTGATGCAAAGCTTAATTTGCGCAGAAGTTAAAAGACAACCACGCTGCTGCAGAGCACACACCTCATCATGACTGTTTACGCCTACGGTCAAAACACCTGAAATTTTTAAGTTTCCGCACACAAAACAGAGAAGAAAGCGGATTGCTATTACTTCACTAGTTATTAGAATGTTGAGAAAGTAATACTCGCTTCTGCTTACTGCTTTGATTTTCTAAAACTGTAGCAATCGGATTCTTCATACTGGGTATCTTTTAAACGTTACATACAAACGTTACACTTGTATATTTTTGCAATGACACTAACGTACCGTCACAGCAAGCCTCTTCGTCCAACGATGGATCAACGATAACTGTCGCAATTTGTAGCGGGATGGTCTTGTCTGATTCGTGTGAAGAACCGGGAGAGCCGTCTTTCCCTGCTTTGTCACTTGTGTTCTCCAGCGTTTGTTGCGTTTCGTGCGGCTCGAAAAAAGCGAAGCTAAGACAGTATGGATAGTGATACAGGTGCAGAGAGACTGGTTCACGTACTGCCACAGGATGAATCGTAACCTACAAGCGTCGAAGGAAAAAACAATTGGCTTGGTGTATATACTTATATATATGAGACAAACTTGCACTCGACAATTTCAGTTTTGACATGTTGATAGCTCCTTATCTCGGGGCGAAAAATTATTGCCACTTTTTCTTGTTGAAAATCTCATAGTTAATGCGCAGTATAATTTAGCACGTCATATAATAGAGCATGCCAACATAAACAGGTTGGAATTGTCTTAAAAGTTTTCCTGACCTCTTTCCCAACGATGGTGACATCCGGTCTTCGAAAATGTGCTAGGGCTGCAACCGTAGCTATGCTTGCACACTCAGCAACATTTCCACCAAGGTTTAGAAGAACTACGTCTACTCGAACCTGTTCAGCGAGAAATAACTTATTTTATAACCCATGTTTGTTATCGTCAAAGCTATCTGGTTATTGGCAACGGTCTGAAACGTGTTGTAATGCTCAAAATAACCAGGATCTACATTTTAATATCCAATAGGCCAAGCAATAAGAGCGCTTGAATATGCGTTTATGACACTATTTTCGAAACTAATATCATCTATGAACAAGATAAATAAATAGAAAGACGTATGATACAGGAAGAAAGGGATTACAAACATTCACATCAAACGTCAAACTTACATAATAACATTTCTTTAAATAGCGGCATCAGTATCAAACAGCAAATTTTATCAATGAGATGTTGTGAGTGTGTGTTACAACCGGAATTATCTGTGCATCAAAGAAGTATAAGAGAATATTGTACCGTGTATTTGCTTACTATGCCAGACAATAATGCGGTAATGTTACAATGGCTAAATGCACACAAAACGTATTTTTTTTTACTAGGAATGCGCACCTCCCAAGCTTTTTCAGCAGCCACAAGACACAGGTTTTCAAGATCAACACATTCTGAATCCCTAATAACACGATCTAGCAGTCGTCCTATATCAACACGGTATTCAACAGTTCGATTGTCTTGCAATGGAGCAGCCATTGGAGAAACATCGAAATGTATTGAAAGACGACCTTCATTTGGCCGCGTCGGTTTAGGCTCGCAGAGGTGCGCTGAACATTGTGCTAGAACCTTAGTTTCACCTAATAGAGCCAAATCAATTTGTCAGTTAGTATAAACAGGTTGGATTCAAACAAACTGACACAACTAATGATCAAAGAAATACCGTGCAATGATAACTTTGCCGTTAAATAGCATTCGAACAATTTTTTGAATGGAATAACTCGAATTCTAGACTATTAGGGTCTCCACAAAGATTCCATTTACGCGTAAAAACTACATACAAAGGTAGCAGATTCTTAGCACCCGTAGATAAAAGCTGCTCGCAATATATTCTTACTGTGGCTTTCTTTTGTTAAAAGTTCTCCTCATCGACCGTTCGATATTAGCAGAATGAGAGACAAATATGAGAAGCACAAAATTGTTACCAAGTGAAACAATGCATGACCCGGGGTCATCGAGAAGTTCGACGTTTAGTTCTCTCGATTCACGACGAGACCGCCCGTCTACACGGACCTTTCCCTCAAGGGCAACTCTTCGTATGAATGCCCGTTCGATGTCGGACAGCGGATCAAGTGCCAGCATCCTCGATAATATACTAGGAATCACATTGCAAACAACAGAAGGAAACACTACTACATGTTAATGATATATTACTAAATAAAGTGAATTAAACATATTCTGAGCTTCGTTACGTCCACAACAGAATTAATTGAAAGCATTACGGGTAAACCTAGTTGTATGAGGATCATATACAACCCTTCCCTTCCGTTTGACTTACTAAATAAATATGTAAACAGGAATTTTGAAAGCACGAATGTTTGAGTTTCCAAATTTTAAAAACACTTGTTAAATACGCATTATTTTTGCAAGCTAAACTACTGCTTGAACCAAGCGCTCCAATAAAGAAAGAGTACTGACGATTTTATGATGATACATTGGGAATACATTTAATAACAACGACTTTTAATAATAATAATACTAAAGGCATGGCTACCAATTATATATTTACTTTCGCTAGCGAGAAAACGCTAAAACATATTTATAAGGTTGTTAAGTCTTACTCTCAAAAATATAATTACTTCATTTGCACCTGTTGCGTTGATGTACAAGAGTGTATGTACACTGAATGCAGTAGAACGAATAGGCGAATTTGCTAGTAAACTGTGTGATGTCACTACATCCGATAATTGCGTAGTGACTGCATGTCTCGTTTTCTTGGTACTTTACAACAATTTTGTTTATAAACAACCTTAATACACCTAATCCGAAGTTCAATAGTCTGTTACATGGCAAAAAACTTTAATTGATCGTAAAGCCCTTGGCAACGCTACTTTGCAAGAGGTCATTTCAAGTTGACAATAAAAGTCTGATACTCCTTAAAGTTGATATAAAAAAATTAAGATACACAAAAAGCCTAGAATATGGCGCGATATA